ATTTTAAAAAGATTTAAAAATATTCAATCTCACCATTTAGAAGAATACAAATTAAAACAACACTGAATACTATTTTTTAATCATCACATTGTCAAAGATAAAATAGTTGGATATACTTAGCATTCTTATATATCACTGGTGGCAGCGTAAATTGACACAATATTTATGGAGAAGTGGGGTTCATTCCAGGGGCACAAGAGTGGTTCAACATATGCAGATCAATCAGTGTAATATACCACATTAACAAGAGGAAGGATATAAAACAGATGATCTTATCAATAGATGCAGAAAAAGCATTTGATAAGATACAATATTCATTTAGCCAGACACACAATGGAGTAAAGATAGTTGCTTCAGTAAATGGTGCTGGCGCCCAGCTTATGTAGCTCAATGGCCGAACATTGACCTATGAACCAGGAGGTTGCAGTTTGATTCCAGGTCGGGGCATATGTCTGGGTTGCAGTGTGGGGCATGCAGGAGGCAGCCAATGGTTGATTCTCTCTCATCACTGATGTTTTCTCTCTCTCCCTCTCCCTTTTTCTGTGAAATCAATAAAAATATTTTTTAAAAATTAAAAATAAGTAAGTAAATGGTGCTGGGAAAACCGGAAGGCCATATGCAAACGAATGAAACTGGATTACAGTTTGTCCCCGTGTACAAAAATTAATTCAAAATGCATCAAAGGCCTAAATATAAGACCCAAATAATAAGTTACAGAGAAGAAAATATAGATACCAAACCTATGGACCTTGGTCATAGAGAACATTTTATGAACTTGACCCCAAAAGCAAGGGAAGTAAAGGCAAAAATAAATGAATGGGACTATATTAAACTAAAAATCTTCTGCACAGCCAAAGAAACTGACAACAAAACAAAGAGGCAGCCCACCAGATGGAGATGATATTTGCAAATAGTAGCTCTGACAAAGGTTTAATTTCCAAAATATATAAAGAACTAATAAAACTCAATACCTAACAAACAACCCAATCAAAAAATGGGCAGAGGAGCTAAAAATATACACCTCTCCCAAGAAGACATATGAACAGCCAATCCAATATAATAAAAGCCTAATAATGCTGTGTGTCCGACCGTTCATTCGACTGTTCGACCAGTCACTATGACGTGCACTGACCACCAGGGGACAGATGCTGCGACCGGTAGGTTAGCTTGCTGCTGGGGTCCGGCCAATTGGGACTGGGCGAGATGGGCCAGACACACCCTGGAGCCCTCCTGCAGTCCCTCCCCGGACGGCCAAACTCCCATAGTCCCTCCCCAGCCCCAATCGTGCATCAGTGGGGTCCCTCGGCCTGGCCTGTGCCCTCTTGCAATCCAGAACCCCTCAAGGGATGTTGGAGAGCTCATTTTGGCCTGATCCCCGAAGGCCAGGCCAAAGAACCTCACTGGTGCACGAATCTGTGCACCGGGCCTCGAGTAGATATATAAAAGGATGTTCAACCTCAGTGACAATTAGGGAAATGCAAATCAAAACTACAATGGATACCACCTCACACCTGCTAGATTAGCCATTATCAATAAGACAAGCACTAACAAGTGTTGGTGAGGTTGTGGAAAAAAGTGAACCCTCATTCACTGCTGGTGGGAATGTAGACCGGTACGACCACTACCGAAAGCAGTCTGGCCATTCCTCAAAAAATTGAGAATAGAGCTACCATACGACCCAGCAATTCCTCTCCTGGGTATATACCTGAAAACCTCAAAATCATGTATGCGCAAAGATATATGCACCCTTAAGTTCATTGCAGTATTATTCACTGTAGCCAAGACATGGAAACAACCAAAGTGTCCTGCGATAGAGGAGTGGAGAAAGACGTGGTACATATACACAATGGAATGCTACTCAGCCATAAGAAAGGATGAAATAGCACCAGTTGTAACAACATAAATGGACCTTGAGAATATTATGCTAAATGAATAAGTCGGAAAAAGCTGACTTCACTCATATGTGTGATATAAAATTGACACTTGTGAACATAAACAGCAGTGTGGTGGTTGCTGGAGGGAAGGCGGTGGAGGGAGAAGGAGGTCCCAGTATATGCCGACAGGAGAAGATTTGACTTTGGGTGGTGGGTGCTAGGCATTCTTGTGCTCCATGATGCCTGGCTTGGCAAGAGCCCCTCCCGGTGATTTTCCTGTTATTCTCATTATAGGTTTCATGATTAACAGCCTTCAGTTTCCTATAAACTGCCTCACCCACTTTCCAGTGGACCATCTACACCTGACCCCCACCTGCACCTGGTCTGACCTTTACAAGAGACATAAATATCCTGCTCCCCCTACCCTGCCCCGATGCCATTTTGATCTCAGCTCTTCTGCTAGCAGATGTTAACAATAAATGTATAATTCTTTACCCCTTTCGGCCTCGTGCATTCTTCCTTCGGCCACTCTAACAGTGGGCACATGGTGCAATATACAGATCTTGTAACAGAAACCCACGCCTGAAACTTATATGTTCATGTTGACCAATGGCTCCCTAATAAATTTTTTTTTAGATGTCGAATAAAGGAACACAATGCAAAGAAATACTTACTAAAATTCCATTTATATAAAGTTCAAAAGCAAGCCAAACTAGAATGTGTATGTTCACATACAAAGAGGGAAGAACTATAAGGAAAATCAAGGAAGTGCCTGTCAGAGTGCCTACATCTGGGGAGAAGGGCGTGTGATGAGAAAAGGGAGTAAGTAACACCTGCTCTAACTGCTTCTGTATCTGGAGTACTTTAAAAGCAAATTACCTAAAACTGCACTAAGCAACTAAAAAGAAGACAGAAAGAGAGTCCAGAAAATCTCTACAACTGATTATAAGCTGGACTAAAGCGGTGATTTTTTTTCATAAGATAAAATAAGATATACCTGGGAAGCTGCCATTAAATAATGTCAGCAAAGTTTATTAAATACAGTGGGGCCTTGACTTATGAGTTTAATTCGTTCTGAGACCGAGCTCATTAAGGAGCTCGTTAACTCAAATTACTCTATCAACTCAATGCAAAAAATCGGCCGAGAGACAGCTGGTATCTCAAAAAACTCGTTAGTCGGGAAACTCGTAAGTCAAGGCCCCACTGTATTTCATTGATGTACCTTTTGAATTATCTCCCACTAATTAAGACCGATTTCGTTCATTCATTCATTAAAATGCAAACAAAAATCAGTTTTATCCTGGAGGCAGATTTGAATGGCGTGACACTTTTATATTATTATATATTATAACTGACCTATTTTCTTCTACTTAAAAACCGCATGTTATTTTATTTATTTCCTTACAGGAATTTCACACACACACACACACACACACACAGTGTAGTTGAAATGCCAGTAGAGGACATTTAAAACACCGAATACTCTGAGATACAACGGCATGCATGGAACAAGGAAAACTCCTGGACGCCGTTATCTTTGCAAACTTTTCCTGAAGCTTCGACTCTTGACTATTTAAAGAAGAAGAAAAAGAAAGGTGTTCCTATACGTATTTAGGTATCAGGTCCTTGATGGCCTCCATTAGTCCATTTGTCTCAACTATTTTTTCAACAAAAGCCAGCTTACCTGCCTTTCCTGTGTACAATTTCTACTGAAATTATATGAGATTTTCATGCAAATGCCTTTGTAATCTCGGCTCTAACTCCCAAGGTCTTATAGGAGTCAGGATAAACCAGGTTGAACTCACAGATCTGACTTGCAAATTCCTCAGCTCCACTCCCCAGCGTTTCTAAACCGCAGTCCCCCGTCTCTCACCCTCCACCCCGACATCCAAGCGGAGAGCTTCTGCAAGAAGCGTAGCGGTCACCATAGCAACTGGGCTCAAGCCTAAAGCCCTACGAAAGGGCAACAGGAGCAGTCTGCTCCCGGAGGGCTTCCCCGGACCCCAACTCCGCCTGCAACCGCCCCCACCGCCGCTGCAGCAGTGACTACCTGCCTCGGGGTCACCCTCAGCTCCCGACCCCCGCCACACACACACTCCCTCTGGCAGCTGCCCTCCCCGGGGCCTTCCGCCCAGAAGCTGCTGGACGCCGACCGACCGGGCGCATCACCGGGCTGCTACCTGGAGCTCCAAACGCACCCTCGCTGTCCTCAGCCAGCCGCCCTCCTCGGAGCTCCACCCCGCGACGGCCAGGCCCTGCCTCCGCCTGGGACCCAGATCCCACCCACCTCCATCCTCCGCCCCTCTCCCGCCCTGCCCACCCGAAATCGACCCGGCCCCGCCCCGGGGTAGGCGGAGGAGGACGGGCCCGGGGGAGAAGCGGGCGCGGTGGGGGAGGGGGGGGGGGGGGGGGGTTAACCCCGGGTTTGGGGGGCCCCGGGCTGCAGGGCCCGCCTTCCCGCTCTACCTGAGCCGGCTGGTCCTCCACCTCTCCCCTCGTTCGCTCCGCCTCCCAGCCGCGCGCCCGCAGGCCCTGTGCGCACGCGTACCTGGCTCCACCCCCCCTCTCGTGGGACTTCGAGACCTGCGCGCGCACCCACGCACCTAGCCACGCGCGGACCCACTTCCCAGTCCTCACAGGTGCCTAGGCAACGCCTTTCCCGGTCCAGCCAGGCCGCGCAGGCTCAAGCCAGCGCAGAGCCTCTACGTCTCCCTCCACCACCACCACCAACCCCCGCCCGGAGCGTCCCGTCTCCTAGTAACTAGCCGCCACCCCTTTCCCACCACTTAGTTCTTAACCCCTAGTGTCGGGGAGCGCGATCTCGCTCCTCCTGTCTTTCGCCAAAAGTGCCAGGAGCGCGATCGCGATCCTCCTGCAGTGTCACTATTAGATGCTAGTAGTTCACTCTTTATTGACAGATGGCACCAGATTACTCATGATGCCGAATGTTTGCAGTTCTAAAATTGAATATGTAACTTCATTTACTTGCGATTCATAATTTTTTTCCTAAACTGCTGTAAGATCAGCAAAAATGCCTTGGCAGTTTTAGCATAGTTCCTAGGATGTTGGTTGGCACTCAAAGTTAATACTGTACTTGCTGCGGCCACCGCGCTGGAAGGGACGCGCATGCGCAGGCCTGTGCGTCCTTCCGCCACCTTCCCAAAGCTCTGGAACACCTGCTTCTTTGATGCTAAGGCTCTGAGCCGCTTTTCCCGGAGATCAAGCACCGTTCGGGATCCACGTTCAGTGAACTCGTGACTCCCCAGAGCTGCTCTTGGGCGCTGGGAGGTTGGCGCGCTCCTGCCAAAGTCGGTGGTTTCGGGGAAGCCTCCCAGGTCGGGTCCTGCAGCCGCACCAGGGAAAGGGCCGGCTGTTGGGTGAGCACCGGTGGCCTGCAGCCTGGGGAGCCCTGCAGACCCGAGGCCCCGGTCAGCCTGGCACGGTCCAGGCAGGGTTGAATCGGGAGCCCAGCTTGGAAAAAAAAATGTCTTTATGTTCCTTGATGTTTAATATGCCCCACGTTTCTCAAATAACCCGCAGGTTTCTGAACTTTAATGGTGGCTTTATCTCCCTGTCTTTTTCACAGATGGAATAGATAACTAGGTTTTTAAAGCTGTGCTCTGATTCTCTTGATTTAGTATTCGCCTGTGTATTTCAAAAGTAACCTCACATTTGAAGAGACTAACCGTTCCTGTTTTTGCCGGGTAAGTACTCATTTCTTTCCAATATAAATTATTGCAGTGCATAAACAAATTTTATGTTAGAACAAATTTCTTCATAGAAGTACATTTAAATATAAGTGCCATATATTTTTCCATTCTCTGCCCTGGCTTTTTTCATCATTATGCGTGCTGTTACATTTTCTCATATTTTGTAGCATTTATTTTGCCATATCGTATACTTTGTAAGTATAGCAAGATACTAAAATATTAAATTGAGTGTTGCTGCTATTTTAGATAAAGAAGTCAGAGGTCCCAAGAGGTACATTTCCTCTGAAATATAATTATACTTAATTAAGGAAATAATGTAGGGAAAAGATCAGTTTGTGGTCAAACCAGGATGTGAAGATTTTCCTTTAAAAAAAAAATATTAAGGACTATTAATTTCTTCCCCAGCCCAAGAAAGTAAAAATGTTCTTCCCTCGATGAAAAGCCAGAGTGGTCAGTGCTGCATCCTGCCCCAATTAACCCTTTCATAGTACCTCTGCGCTCTTCCTTCTGACTGAAGTGCTAAGGTCTCAGTTTTCTATTCCCTTAGTTTCTCTATCATTTCACAAACTTTACTAAGAAAAATCGATATGTTGCCTTTTTTTGTTTCAACCCCTGGTTACCTAAAAAAAATTGGAGGCTCCAATTGCACATGTTAAGTTGCTTGGTGCTCTGTGTATTATTTTTTAATTAGATAGTTTCTATGATATATATTCAAGTTCACTATTCTCCTTTGGTGGTGTTAATCCCATCCACATGGGATTTTTTTCACATCAAGTATATTTTCATTTAGTAACTTCCATTTCTTACCTCACCATGCTCACGCTTTGCTCTACCTTCTTGGAAATGTGGAATATATATTAACATAGCTGTCAAGGTCCTTGCATACTAATTCTATCATTTGTGTCATTCCTAGGTATGCTTCTGTCAACTAATTCTTCTCTCCTATTTATCATTCATATTTTTATACTTGTTTCCATAGCTCATAAGTTTTTATTGCCTACCAGACACTGCAGATTTTACATTGTTAGGTGCTGGAGGTTTTTGTGTTTCTTTAAGTATATTTAGGCTTTGTTCTGAGATGCTAAGTTTACTTAGAAACAGTGTGACCCTTTAGAGCTGCCCTGTCAAAAATAGGGACCACTAGCTACAAATGCCTATTTGAATGTATGTTAATAAAATTAAGTAAAAGTTAAACTGTAGTTCCTCGTTTGTATTATGTACATTTCAAATGTACACACGCAGCTACTGGCTACTATATTGGATAACCATTGAAAATAGTTCTATTGGACACTGCTGCTTTAGAAGCTTGCTTTTAAGCTGTTAGGTCCAAAACAGTCTTTACGTAGGGCTGTTTTGGCCCCATTACAGAACCAATATCTTTGTGAGGACTCTATGCAGTGCTCCATCCAGTCTGTCTGGTGGGCATATTCTTATTGGACAGTCATAATCTTTGGATTAACTTCCTTGGTTAATTTCTAAATATTTTATTATTGTATTTATGCCACTGTAAAGGAATTTTTTTATTGATTTCAGAGAGGAAGGGAGGAGAGAGATAAAAATATCAATGATGAGAATCATTGATCGGCTGCCTGCTGCATGTACCACACTGGGGATCAAGCCCACAACCCGGGCATGTGCCCTTGGCCAGAATTGAACCTGGAACCCTTCAGTCTGCAGGCCGATGCTCTATCCACTGAGCCAAACCAGCTAGGACTGAAATTGTTTTATTAATTTCCTTTTCAGGTTCATTGTTAGTGTATAGAAATGCAACAGGTTTTTGCATGTTAACTTTGTATCCTACTACTTTGCTGAATTCATTTATTAGTTCTAACAATTTTTGTGTGTGGAATCTTTAGATTTCTACATATAAGATCCAATTATCTGTGAAGACAGATCATTTTATTTCATCCTCTCCAATTAGTATGCCTTTTACTTCTTTCTTCTAGAACTTCCAGTATTATGTTGCATAGAAGTGGCAAAAGTGGGCATCCTTGCCTTATTCCTGATTTTAGAGCAAACACTTTCTCCACTGAATATGATATTCACTATGACTTTTTCACAAGTGGTTTTTACTTAGTTTCCTTCTTTTTCTAGTTTGTTGAGTGTTTTTATCATGAAAGGGTGCTGACTTTTGTAAATGCTTTTTCTGCATCAAATGAAACAATCGTGGTTCTTTTTCTTTATTCTGTAGTGTGGTGTATTACATTAATCAGTTTTCATATGGTGAATCATCCTTTTATTCTAGGAATAAATCCTACTTGGTCATGATATATAACGCTTTTAATATGCTGTTGTATTTGGTTTGCTAGTATTTTGTGGAGGATTTTGCATAAGGGATATTGGTCTGTAGTTTTCTTGCACTGTTTGCCGGGCTTTGATATCAGGGTAATGCCGGCCTCTCAGAATGAGTTAGAAAATGTTCCCTCCTCTTTAACTTTTTGGAAACAAAAGATTGGTATGATTTATTCTTTAAATGTTACAATAGCATAAAAAAAGCTTTTGTTTTTGTTTAGAGATTTTTATTATTATTATTACTAATTCAATCTCCTTAGTAGTCATAGGTCTATTTAGATTTCCTGGTTTTTTCTTTTTTTATATATTTTTATTGATTTGAGATGAAAGGCAAGGGAGAGATATTAACACCAATGATGAGAGAGAATCATTGATCGGCTGCCTCCTGCATGCTTGCCACAGGAGATGGAGCCCACAACCTGGGCATGTGCCCTGATTGGGAATCCAACCATGACCTCGTGGTTCACAGGTCGATGCTCAACCACTGAGCTACTCCAGCTAGACAGATTTTCTGTTTCTTCATGACTTCATCTTGGTAGGTTTTGTGTTTCTAGGAATTTGCCCATTTCAGCAAGGATATACAATTTTGTGGCATGTAGTTATTCTTGCACTCTCTTATAATGCTTATTTCTGTAGAATTAGTAGTAAAGTCCCCGACTTTCATTTCTGATTTGTCATTTGAAACCACTTTTGTTTCAAAGATTTTATTTTTTCTATTATTCTAGTGTCGATTTCATTTATCTCTGCTCTGATCTCTACTATTTCCTTCCTTCCGTTAACTATGGATTTAGTTTGTTCTTTTTCCAGTTCCTTAAGTTGTAAAGTTAGGTTGTTAGAGGTCTTTCTTGTTTGTTTAAGGTGTTTATAGCTATACATTTCCCAATTAGCACTGATTTTGCAGCATTCCATAAATTTTTATGTTGCATTTTTATTTATTTTATTTAGTTTCATCTGTACATATTTTCTAATTTCCCTTGTGATTTATTTGATCCATTGGTTGTTTCAGTGTATTGTTTAATTTCCACAGATTTGTGGATTTTCCTGTTTTACTTCTGTTGTTGATTTCTCACTTCATCCCACTGTAATCAGAGAAGACACTTTGTATATCTATCTTTTAAAATCTATTGAAAGCCATATTGTAGCCTAAAACGTGGTCCATCCTGGAAAATGTCCCATGCATATGGAGAAGAATGTGTATGCTGTTGTTGTTGAGTGGAATGTTCTATATATGTTGGTAAATCTACTTATTTTAATTGGTTTTCCTATTTTCTTGTATTCTGTCTGGTTGTTCTATCCATTATTAAGAGTTGAGTATTGAAGTTTCCAACTGTTAGTGCAGAACTATCTCTCCCTTCAGTTCTGTCTGTTTTTGCCTCATATATTTTGATGGTGTGTTATTATTTGGTAAATGTTTATAATTGTTTGGCCATCTTTATTTTTTAGAGAACAACTAGCAAAGTGTTTGGACTTCAGTAATTATTACTTTAACCCATTAATAATTAATTAAAATTTTTGAGAGCAAGAATGATAGAAAGGGCTAAGTAGAGAAGTTCTATTTTCTGAAAGGTGCTGAAACATAAAATCTGATCAATTCTTTTTTAAAACACTTTCAAAGAATCTATAGAATCTGTGATCCCTCCCACAGAGAAAAAGTAAACACTGAGATGTAGCAGTGTTTTACTTTATATTTATGGATCCATCACCATGACATTCCATTAACACTAACAGTGCCATGAAGTTGGTTGAAATTCCCACTGTATTCACTTGTCTCCATTTTTTTTTCTCAAGCAATCAAGTTGAAGCAATCAAGTTGAAGAAACGTTTCCACTACTATATTTATTCAGCTCTTCCAATGGGATTTTCTGTTAGTAAATCTGCTACTCAGTTATCTGCTATGTGTATGGATGCAAAAGTGGATGATCAATTAATGCAAGGGACTGAGAAAAGCAAGCTGGAACCAGTGACTCAGTTATTTCAAAACACTAAGAAAATAAGATTAGAAGACCCAAACCAAGAAAACCTTACAAGAGAGAAAGAGACTGGTCCAGGCTCTCTTTCTGAGAAAGCCGTGGGTTCAGTAGTTTATGTTAAAGAAAGTGATGGAATAGAAATGACAGATGTGGAATGAAGTTGTTTGTACCTATTAACACAGAAATCAAAACTTGCTTTTGACTAAGAGGGCATATTGATTGAGAACTTAACCTCAATAGGAAAACCTAACAAAATGAAGGAAGATGTTTGCTTTTTCCCCCCACTGTTTATAAATCACCGTAGACTGCATTTTTTGATGATACATACTCAAAACAGTTGCTTTAGGGAGAAAAAGCTTTCCAAAATTCAAAGTAGATTTCTCTGGTATTATCCTTGTCAAAATCAGAGTTTTGACTAAAAGTATTTAAATGGCACTAAAACATATTAATGATAAAGTATTTAACTAGTAATCAAAAAACATGAAACAGTGCCCAAACAATTTGACATCATTATGTCACACTATTTCTTATGTATCAATTTTGTATGTTAGATTTCCAGTTTGGGATTTTGCTTAAGGGGACTTTATCTTTCTACATTTTTGCATTTCTGTTATATAGACGTTCACTCTAGGTAAACTATGCAAAAAATCCCACAGTAAATTGCATACTTTGAAAAGCATTTCACATTTTAAATCATCCTTTTAAACTGTTATTATTTTCTCCACATTGAATTCATTTCAGAACTACAACATAGTTATTTCAAAGTGTAGTAGTTTATCTTACAGTTGCTAACATTTTATATCACCAATATTTAATATAAGAAAATAGCCTTAAAATTATTGTCTAATATATATCATTTTGCCATTCTTATTGAAATATGTAGTAGTTTGAAACGGCAGTATTGTCTCAAATAATGCTAGATGAAATTAAAACCATTTTGTATCCGGACATATAATGAGTTGTAACTGTATTATGTATGTTTTGAACATTTTCCTATATTTTAATATTTAATGACTATCTCTAATGCCCAATTGAGTAATCTCCTTCATATTCTAAAAAAAACAACCAAAAGGAAAAGGCTTCTTTAAGGGGAAGCAATATTTTATAAATTAAACAGTACTAAACCAGGAGTTAAAAAAAAAAGATGTTTAATGGGATCTAACCAATAAGATGATGCTTTTTATCATTTACAGAACATAATTCTTTGGGAGAGAGAAAATACACAAATCATTCATTTGTTCACCTAACCTGAATTGTTTGAAAGAGAACAAATACACAACCCATTCACTTGCTCCCCTAACCTGGCACTGTACTCAGTGCTGGGGATATAGTGGCAAGTAAAATAGCTACGGCCTTTACAGTGCTTACTGTCTGGCTACGGAGAAATAGAACATCAGATAGTAAATATGTAAGGTACAACTTGTGATATGCCAAGAAGAAAAAGTAAAATGTTCAGAGAGACAGATGAGGAGACATAACACATAAACTTGATTTTTCATAATGGAACTAGAAAGGCTTCTCTGAGGACATGACAGGTGTAGCTTTTGCAGGGACGTGGTTGTCCTAGTGAGATGATGGTGATGATTGAAGTGGTAAGAAGGGTATGTAGTCCAGGTGAAGTTTGGCAGGATGTACAGATGGTTTGAAAGTGGCAAGTGAGGAAAAAGAAGGAGTTTCTAGCAAAAAAAGGCTAAATGCATGGAGGTTCCTGGGGAACTGGTATGCTCGGGGGCACGCTTTTTGGACATCCCGGGTTTCCAAGGCAAGTAATAATGGATGGAGCTAAACATAAACGTTTCGAAGAAATGCTATTCAGAGCCATAGGCATGAATGATATGGCTTAAGGTGAACGTATAGTTTGAGATCAAGTCGTGAAAAACTCCAACATTTAGACAGTGATGGCGAACCTATGACACGCGTGTCAGAGGTGACACGTGAACTCATTTTTTTGGTTGATTTTTCTTTGTTAAATGGCATTTAAATATATAAAATAAATATCAAAAATATAAATCTTTGTTTTACTATGGTTGCAAATATAAAAAAAATTCTGTATGTGACACGGCACCAGAGTTAAGTTAGGGTTTTTCAAAATGCTGACGCGCCGAGCTCAAAAGGTTCGCCATCGCTGGTTTAGGAGCTGGTCAGCGCAGGGGGAGCTGGCGAAGGGGGCTGAGAGTGGGCAGTGAGGTTGGCGGAAAACCAAGGCGGGGAAATGTCAGGATTGCCCACAGGAGTCGTTAAGGTGGAGGGCGTCAACTGAAAGGTTAGAGGAGGACTGAAAAGTCCATTGGATCTAACAACATGAGTGTCACCAGTGACCTTAGCAAAACCACTTAGAAAAAAAACGGGACTTTACTCAGGCATTTACAGACTGGTGTTCCACGTCCACAGTGTCCAACAGGACATTGGATTATTTGTATCGATGTTGAATTGGGGATGATCTTTCCTTGTGTGTGAGGCCCCGTGCCCTGCAGGATGTCGAATGTAGTAAGTACACACCCAGTCATTGAGACGACAAAAAACACAGACATTAATTACCCTCATCCAGCACCACGGCTACTAAGACGTCATAAGATTGGGATCCCCAAATCCCAGCCAAGCCGTGAATTGGACAGCACACCTGGGAAGGGAAATCCCCAGGCTTCCTGAAAGGGGAACAACGGGACAAGTTTAGTCACTTAGGTGTTTGTTTGGGGGGAGGCTTCTATAAGTGGAATCCTCAAGGAAGCACTTTTTGGAGCTTTATTGTTTCTGATAAGTAAATTTTCCATATTAAAAAATATATATTATTTATATATATGTATATTATTGTATATACATATACAATAATATATATGTAATGTATATACAATATTATTTAATATATATTATTTATATATGTATATTTATATATGTATACTATTGTATATGTATATGTACATATATACATATACAATAATATATACACTATGTAATGTATATACAATATTATTTAATATATATATTATTTATATATATAGTACAGGGTTTGTTCCTTAAATGCAACGTCTTTCCCACCTGATTTTCGTTTCCTCGCCTCCCAAGTGGAGTTACCTGCCTTTGGGGCGTGGCGAGGAAACCGTTAGGGACCCGGTGCAATGCCTGACCGCGCAGGGAAAGGACTGACTTGTTGGCACCGGGCCTGGCGGGTGACCCGGGTGCCCTGGGTGTCTGGCCGCCTTGCCCAGACTCGCCCCCCAAGTGCCCGCTCCAGCCAGGCACGGCCGCCCCTCCCGCCTTCGCTCAAGCAGCGCGTGTCCCTCTGAGCTGCCGGCTCTGGGGTCGGGTCGTGCCCGTGTCCCGGCCTCTCGTCCGGTTTGGCGCGGGCTCGGCCACTCCCAGGTCCCTCAGAAATCCTCCCGGGTCACCCAGACCCGCCCTGACCGCGCCGGGCAAAGTGAAGCTCAGCTCTTCTGGGCACTTCCGGTGGCTCTTAGCGCCACTTCCGGGGCGGGGCCCGCCGAGCGCGCAGCCTGCAAGCCCGGAGACGGCAGTGCGTACCCGGCACGAATCCGCGCGACTGGGAGCAGCAGGTGGGATACCCCGGCCACGTGGTTCTGGGGCGCTGCTAGCCGGGGCGGGAAGATGGGGAGCCCCCAGGCCAGGACCCGCGCGCAGCTGCTGGAGGCGCTGCAGTTTGCGCCCAGCCCCTGCGAGTAGTCAGCTTCACGGTTGGAAAAGGTCTCTCCCCGGTATCGGAGGGTAAAAACGAAATAACGCGTGCGCACGACCGTCCTGAGGCTCTGGGTCGGTGCGCACGACCGTCCTGAGGCTCTGGGTCGGTGCCGCGCTGAGCTGGGCCTGGGTGGGTGGATAAGTGTGACTGTTGCTGTTTGCTTTCTGGTTGGTGATGAAACGAAGCCTGTCTGGCAAGGCTGAGTGTCCCCTGGAATATGGGAATAAGATTGACCTCTGAGGAAACACTATACAATCCATCATTACAAGGTGAGAGTAGAGATATGCAAAGTTAGTGGGAAGAAACCAGGCCTTCAAGACTTGATTATATCCTGACGATGAAAGAAAGAGTGTCATTCAGTCGGAGCACCACTCCGTTACTGAAGATGGAATGAAAGGGAGGTGCAACCGAGCCCACCCGAGAGGGAGGGTGGCCTGGCTTCCATCCAGAGAGCTCTCCAGAGCCCAGGATTTGAGAATGTGATTTCCAAAGGGCTCATCCCATCAGACATTGAGATCACACAGCTCACTCCTTTTATTCGGATTCTGTGTTCACCAAGCAAAATTAGGATAGGTAGGAGAGGCTGATCTGAATGTCCGTTTGACAGTCTACAGTTCTCTTTGTAACTAATGAATAGGATTTCAAGTTGTGTGTGTTTTTTCCAGACATCCCTTTGTTTCCACTTTTTCTCACTCTGATTCTTATCCTTCAGGGCTCAGTTGGGATGTTACCTCCTCACAGGGGCCGCCTGTTGTGTTCAGTTGCCTAGAACAGTTTCTGGCCCATAGGCGCTCAGCCTAACTCCCTCAGCGCTCTCAATCCTTGCTCAGATGTCACTTTTTAAAGTTTTTGTTTGTTTCTTTGTTGTTGTTTTGTTTTATTCTTTTTTTTCCAAATGTCACTTTTTATTTTTTTTAGAATATATTTTATTGATTATTTTACAGAGAGGAAGAGAGAGGGATAGAGAGTTAGAAACATCGATGAGAGAGAAACATCAATCAGCTGCCTCCTGTACACTTCCTACTGGGGATGTGCCCGCAACCAAGGTACATGCCCTTGACCGGAATCGAACCTGGGACCCTTCAGTCCGCAGGCCGATGCTCTATCCACTGAGCCAAACCGGTTAGGGCAAAATGTCACTTTTTAAATGAAGCTAAGCCTGACAAACCTATTTAAATATCAGCCCAGTTCCTCTTAAATGTACAGTCTTCCCTTTCCAAGCCTTACTTTTCTTTTTTCCTATAGCCCTATTCACTTTTATTTATTTGGTTCACTAATGAACCCCAAATGCTAAGACCAGTGCCTGTCCTATAATTGATGCCACTTACCAAGTATTATAGATTCTTTATGCTTAAATCTCTAGGGTGTGTCTCTGAAGTATAAATCTGATCTTTCTGCTTTCTTAAAACTCTTCAGCACCTCCTCCATGGCCCTCAGGATTATGCATTTAACACAAATTTCAAGTCTCTTCCTTATCTGACCTCTACTTCTCCAGCCTTCTATCTCTTGCAACTCTCCTTTCTTGCACTCTCCCCCACCACCACCACCACCACCACCACCAGAGAGAGTGGAAGGGAGGGGGAGAGACAGAGAAACATCGATGTCAATTGGTTGCCTCCCGCATGTGCCCTGACCAGAGCCAGGGATCAAGCCTGCAACCGAGGTACATGCCCTTGACTGGAATCGAACACAGGACCCCTCAGCCTGAGGGCCACTGCTCTATCCACTGAGCCAAACCGGCTAGGGCTCTTGCACTCTTACGTCCAGCGGTTTTGTGCATCTTAAAAATAAGCCAATGGAATTCAATTTTTTGAATTCTTTGAATGGGTCTTTTTTTCCTCCAGGCTGTTATACTTTGTTGTAATACTTTTCCATATCCCTTTTATATCTCAGCTTCAATGTCACTTGCACTAATTTGAGGAATAGATGGCCCTCTGGTGTACATACCCTATCACAGCACTTATGACACTAGTAGAGGCCCAGTGCACAAAATTCTTGCACAGGTAGGATCCCTAGTGCCAGCCGGGGCCTTCTTTTGTTCCGTGTCGCCCCCCTGGTGATCAGCGCACGTCATAGCAAGCGATTGAACTCCCGGTCGGTCGAACTCCTGAGGGGACACTTTGTATAGGCTTTTATATGTATAGATATATTTTAATCATTGCTTTAATTGCTTTTTAGTATCTCCCATTAGATTTTGAGTTCTTGGAAGACAAGAACCACTGTATGACCTTAAATGTCTCTCATATTCATCCCCTTCTTTATGTCTACCCTAGTCAGGCCCTCATTATCTCTAACTTGGACAACTTCAGGAGTCTATTAACTGGTCTCCCTACCCCTGATCTAGCTTTTCTTTAATCCATGCTCAACACTGCTGGCAGTGGTAGTTCTGTTTAATGCCTGGCTTAACCCCTGCTTGCTTAAAACACTTCAATAAATTGCAGCTGCTTTGAGAAAAAGTCCAAATGTTTTAGGATCACATGAATTTGCCTCCTCCCTTCCTCTGTTCCCTTACTGCTTTGTATCTAGTAGGCACTCCATAAATATTGGTTGAGTGAATGAGGGACTATATCAAACTCAGTCAAACAGAACCAAGAACAAGGGTTTAACCAAAGAAGTGCGGTCTGGCTGCAGGGACTTCCTAAGGCAATGTAGCCACAGACGTCAGTGGAGCCAAAAGACTAGAAGTGTAAGTCTGTCCCTGGGGAGGGAGTCTCCAAAACATGCCTTACTTTTAGATGACTCCTTGTCTTTTTATGTCTGGAATATGCTACTCCCATCCACTTGGTAAACACCAACAGATTTCAAGACAGTTCAAGTATCCCTTCCTCTATTAAACTATCCTGACCTCTCTGGTGTAAATTGGCCCAACTTTTCTGTAGCGTAATTTATCAAAATATATCAATAGCGATGAAAATCTGAAACTTTTTAACTTGGGAATTGTGTTTCTAGGACATTACTTAACTACAAAAGACTTTGGCCTACTTTTGGACTTTAATAATTCATTCTGTCTTTGACCTAAAGAAAAATTATGGCTATCCTAAGAAACAGAATTGGGACAGAATGTTTTCTTTATGACCATAACTAGTCAAAATACTTCATTGGTGTAGCTAGTATTTTCAGCCCATTGCCACCTAATATTTAATGAGCACTGCTAAAAAAAAAAAAAATAGTGTCCAAACATAATAAAACTAGAGGGCTGGTGCACAGATTCATGTACCAGTGGGGTCCCTCGGCCTGGCCTGCAAGGATCAGGCCAAAACCGGCTCTCTGACATCCCCTGAGGGGTCCCAGATTGTGAGAGGGCAGTTCTCGGGTGTTGCACCCCAGAATCGGGCTCCCTCCTCTCTGGTTCTGGGTGCATCATCCAAGAACCGCAGCTGCCAAGTCACTGCGGCTCGGCTGCTCCTGCATTGAGCGTCTGCCCCCTGTTGGCCATTGCGTGTCATAGCTACTGGCCAGTGGGGCGGTCAGCCGGTCCCTTAGGCTTTTATATATATAGATTGTTCCTGCTAATCAGATTGCCTCTCCTTTTGACCTCAGGGGGTTCCATCCTAATCTAATATTGATCTGAATGAGTTATGTTGCCAGTAAATCAGTCAAATAAAGTATTATAATAGCATAAAGCTTTCCACAGAGATGTTCATGAATACATTGCTGATAACAGAAAAACTAGAAACAACCTAAATTACAAACTAAGATTGAGTAAACTATGACATATCTGACAATGGAATATTACACAACATTATGCCCCCTGTTAAACAGATTTAACATTGAATGAAATAATAGTACGGTTCCACTTCTGTGGGGAAAAGTGTGTGTGTTTACACATGCACAGAGAAAAATGAGTACACACCAAATTGTAAATTGTGATTATCTCCAGGTGGTAGTATGGAGTCTTTTAGTTAGCTCTTTTTACTTATCTATAATATTCTCATTTTTCTCAATGCACTTATAAATTCAAAATAACTGGTTTGGCTTTGAGATATATTATATATTTGAAAATTTATTGTTTGCAAAATCTGTGCCCCTATGCCATTTCAACGGAAATGATTTGAGGTTTGTCTTCATTTACTTCTAGGTCTCTCTTGTCAAATTGCTAAAGACAAATGGTAAAGCTAAAAGGCAAGAAAAGCAACTGTCCTGGATAGAGAATTAGATAAGTTTGGATTAAATAACCAAGAAAGAAAAACAGTTTTCCTTTTCTCAACCAATTAATTTGTTTGTCTCCCATTTTTAAAAGCATGCTGATCCCATTTTCAAAGAACTGCTTACAGTTATTTTGTAACTTCAAGGTCCCAGCAACTGGCTTTAAAAACACAGTGAAAAGAGGGCTCATTTTACAGTCAGTTTCCAATGATGTTTACCAAAATCTGGCTCTGGAAGACTGGATCCATGACCATGTGAACCTAGAAAGCAAGCCGATTCTGTTATTTTGGAGAAATTCCCCCTCTGTTGTAATTGGTAGGCATCAAAATCCTTGGCAGGAATGCAACCTGAATCTGATGAGAGAAAAAGGTGTAAAACTGGCTCGGAGAAAAAGTGGAGGAGGCACAGTTTACCATGACATGGGCAATATCAATTTGACTTTTTTTACGACCAAAAAAATGTATAATAGGATGGAAAATCTAAAGTTAGTTGTGAGAGCTCTGAACGCTGTCCAACCCCAGCTGGATGTGCAGCCTACCAAAAGGTTTGACCTTTTACTTGATGGACAGTTTAAAATCTCAGGAACAGCTTCGAAGATTGGCCGGACGACTGCTTATCACCATTGCACTCTGTTATATAGTACTGATGAGACCCTCTTGTCGTCTTTGCTCAAGAGCCCTTACCAAGGGATCAAGAGCAATGCAACTGCTAGCATACCTGCCGTAGTAAAAAGTCTGTCGGAAAAAGACCCCACTCTGACCTGTGAAATACTGACGGATGCTATTGCGGCAGAGTATGCTGCTTGTCATCACATTGAGAATCAGATCAACTTGATAAACCCAGCAGATGAGACACGGTTTCCTGGAATAAATAGCAAAGCCAAAGAACTACAAACTTGGGAATGGATCTACGGCAAAACTCCGAAGTTCAGTATAATAACTTCCTTTAATGTGTTACATGAACAGTCACTCTTGGAAATTAAAGTACTCATAGATATAAAGAAGGGGAGAATTGAAATCTGTAACATTGAAGCCCCTGATCATTGGTTGCCACGGAAAATATGTGACAAATTAAATTCAACTTTTATTGGCAGTAAGTTCTGCCCAATTGAAACTACTATGCTAACAAATGTCTTACATGAAACATGTCCGGAAGACGATGAAGTACACAGTAAATGGAATATTGTCTGTGAAAAAATTAAGGGAATAATGTGACTGCAAGTAAAGTTAATATTGGCACGTTCAGTGAGAAAATAAAAATTTTCAATGTGCATTGTGTGTCTCTTAAAAGGGTCTAGTCTCTCTGAGTAACTTCTCCCCATTTGTGTCTATTGCCTATCCTTGTCCATATTTCCTACTGACCTCCAGGATACTCTGTCTCTTTCCTCACTGATTTTGATACCTGGCATGCATTTATATTTTAGCTCCTGCTTGTTACCATCTTGGGAATGTTTACCATATCGGACACTCTGACCTTCATTCTTTTCCTTACTTCTGGGGAATACAGCGCAGGCTTCTTGCCATATTGGACTTATATGAACTGGGTGACATCGAGGAATGTATATTTGCAAAAAAAACAATATTTTATTGTTTATAATTTTGTACAGTATGATAAGTTTTGTAACACTCCCCAATATGCATTGCAGGCTGATTAGTGCATGTTTGACAGTAATAAGTTTCTTTTTTCTGTGGTGTCAGATTCAACTCATCCGTTGACTCCCTATCATTTTTCAGAGGCATTATTCCTAAATGTTTTCACTCTACTTCAGCTCAGAATTCCACCACTCTTAATCTTGTCACGAACCTTGACTCATGATGTGATAGCAGAGGTCTTCAGAAATGAGTGCCTTATTTTCAATATTTCTCATTTCATCCAATCTCAGAGAAAGAAATACCTCATTTTCCTTAAACCTAACCCCTCTAATTGTACCCTAGATTTTGTCCTCTCCAGCCTATTTGGGCCTTGTACTATCAAATATTTATCTTTTCTTTTCTTTTTTTTTTTTTTTTTTTGGTATTTTCTCTCGGCTTTCACTGACCCATAGTGAATGAACGCAACTCTCTTGCTCTATTTCTTCATTACCAAACTTCTAGAAAGAGTAACATCACTTCCCTGGCCAGGTAGCTCAGTTGGTTAGAGCTGTCCCTATATGCCAAGTTTGTGGGTTTGATCCCTGGCCAGGGAACATACAAGAATCGACCAATGAATGCATAAATAAGTGGGAACTGTGCCTGAATGAAGAACCAAGCCCTATATAAGCCAGACCCCAACAGCAGTTCAGCAAGCCACCTTCCTCATTAGTCTGTGCTTCCTTGACGCATCAAGCTCCCACCCTTTCCCCTTTCCCTCCACCTTGTTTTCAGTAAACCTCTTTTTTGGAATGTTTCCCCTCCTCTCTTGATTTCCATCTTGGGAGAAGAGGGGGTATAAGAACCCCTTCACCAGTGACACATAATAAAGTTGGGCGAAACTAATTTGAGTATTTTCAGGTTCAGCATTATCAGCACCTGAACCTGAAAACATCAAAGAACATCAGGAACTTTTCTGGAACCCCTTCTTGTTCTTTTATGCCAACTCAATCATGTGCCTGCTGGCTCACAAAGGTAAAACAAACCTGGTATCTAAAGACACCCAGGGCTACTATGCTCAACCTTAGTACCATGGCTCCTTCCACCTGGCTGTGGTCTTCCACACTATTTAATTTTGAATTTAATCTTTAACTTTTCTCCTGATGTGATGTTTATATGAGCACTCTTTAACACCAGTACTTCTATTTCTCTCTGTAGACTCTGGGTTAACTTAGTCTTTACTAGTAAGCTTCTGGACTGCCCATTGCTTCTAACTGTACCCACTCTCCTAGTCTAACTCCATATAACCTAATCTTTTTCTTTTTTTTAAGAGGATGCTTTTTAAAATATATATATTTTTATTGATTTCAGAGAGGAAAGGAGAGAGAGAGAATCAATGATGAGAATCATTGATTGGCTGCCTCGTGCATGCCCCCCACTGGGGATAGAGCCCACAACCTGGGCATCTGCCCTTGACCAGAATCAAAACCAGGACCTTTCAGTCCACAGGCCAATACTCTATCCACTGAGCCAAACCAGCTAGGGCCATACAACCTAGTCTTTGTTCCCAACCAGTCAAGTGGCATCTTGATGGAAGAGCTTACCCAGAACAATTGATTCTAAATTGCAAATCTTTATAAATGTGCCAGCCAAGGTTGAATGAGCTGCAAAATGTATCTGGATAACTAAATAAGTGGATTTGCCTATATGGAGTTAGGTAATGGTGGATAAGTAAATATTGGTGAGTGTCTGTCTGCCAATGACATTTAATTTTAACAAAATTAGTATTGTACTTTTTTTCCTGGATATTAAACCCACAAGCCCATCTGTCTCTTAAGAGTACTCTTATCCATATTTTTTCCTCCTGGACTCTAAATTCCCAGGGGCAATATAACATCCACTTCATCTTTATGACAGGTACTCATTATTTGTTGATTCACTCTCCAACACCCAAGTAGTAGAAAAGCTGGTAAAATGTTTAAATTAACTGTACGACTTAAAACACTGTAAATCTAAGTAATGTATTTACAAAGATATTTAAGATTGGTCACAACTGAATAATGAATCCATAAATTAGTAGGAATGTACAAGTTTATTATTAAATTCACATTTTATAGGAATAATCTGTCCAAAGTATAAAAAAATCTAATATTCACTTAAAATAGAAATATACACTGTAAATTAAGCTACTGCCCATCATATTTTTTTCGTGTGCCTGTTATGAAAAATGTCCACTGTTGTTTCATGACATGGTCTTAAATCAAAATCACAATATCCAAGGGAAAAACGACCCTAAGAAGAGAAGAAAAGAATTTTTTAACAGAGAACCAAAGCCATGCTAAAATGATACAAAAAGAGTGCTACCTACCCATAGGCTATATCCTACCTGTGGTTTCTTAAAATAATCCAGTCCCCTTCCAATCTTAATCATCCATCCATTGTTGAACCTATTGAAATAAGTATATAGTATAATATTCCAGAAAGTTATGCCAGACAATTATCAAAGCTGTAGGGTATGAAGTGTCAGCAAATCTCCCCCTAAAAGAAAACCATTTCCTCCAGTAGCATGAGTTGAACCAAACCTGAGGTAACTCATGGGCTGTGTCTACAATGAAACAAAACATTCAGAGAAACCAAGGGTTGATTTGATTAAGTGATAAAAGAGTTTAACAATTACATTAAAACTTACTCTTGAGCCCTGGCCAGGTGGCTCAGTTGGAGCATCATCCCATACACCAAAAGGTTGTGGGTTCGACTTCTGGTCAGGGCCCATACCTAGGTTTCAGGTAAGATCCCTGGTCGGGGCATGTAAAAGATGCAAATAATTGATGTTTCTCTCTCACATCAATGTTTCTTTCTCTTTTTCTCTGTCTTTTTCTCTGTCTCTCTTTCTCTCCCCCTTCCTCTCTCTAAAATCAATAAACATATCCTTGGGTGAGGATAAAAAACTTACTCTTGAATTTCAGCTTGCTGCTGATAAAACTTTCCTGTTCTGCCAACACGTGGTTTCAAAGTATACGCAGGCAGACTGTGGTGGTGGTTCAGGGGTTTCCTACCTAGGGATGGGGGACATAAGCAGGAAGAGCTGTGGATCCTGACCTCTGTCTGCTTCAACCACAGCAGCTGCACTGTCATCGGTTTTGCATTTAGGTTGTGCTTAAGTTTTTTCCTAAGATTGGGGGTGTCATTGATATCTATATATATAAAAGCCCAGTGACTGGAATGGCAGAACGACCAGAACGACTGGTGGCTATGACGCGCACTGCGGCAGCAAACCAGCCTGATCCAGGCCCCGATCGGCCCGCCCCCCCGCACCCAGCCCCCGATTAGCCCCGAACACCCCACTGGGCGGGCCAACCCAGAACCCCACCTGGTGCATGAATTCGTGCACCGGGCCTCTAGTCAACATATGAAAGGCACTGTGCTAAACACAGGGAACATACCACTAAAAAAACTACATATACTGTTTCTTTATGGACACAGTATACTGTCATGCCTACTAGAATATTTTATAAAGCGTAAGAAGTAAAGCCACATTAAATAAATATCAGTATCACATAAATGGAAATAAATTCTCTCAATACCATAACACAATATGTATAATTGAATAGACAGAAAAGTACTTCCTCTTCTTACATGACATAGAACATGTAAATTTTATTGCAACAGGAATTCTGAAGCACATACAGAACAAAATAAGCCAGACTTTTTTTTTCTTCAAAAGTGAAAAGATACTAGAACTGAGCTTTATTTAAAAACTTCAATATTTGGCCCTAACCAGTTTGGCTCAGTGGATAGAGCATCGGCCTGTGGACTGAAGGGTCTCAGGTTCGATTCCGTTCAAGGGCATGTACCTTGGTTGCGGGCACATCCCCAGTAGGGGGTGTTCAGGAGGCAGCTGATCGATGTTTCTCTCTCATCGATGTTTCTAACTCTCTATCCCTCTCCCGTCCTCTCTGTAAAAAATCAATAAAATATATTAAAAAAAAACAAAACTTCAATATTTAAATGGAATATTTATGTGCAATTATATACAACTTAAGAGAAGTAAAAATAAGTATTTTTCAACGGCATAAAAGTTAAAATATTACTATATACCAACCTAATTTCTCGGTCATGTATGGAAGAAGAATATTCCAATTCCAACAGCACTCCATGATTCCTAAGTGATGCTTTTATTTCTTCCAGGCCACTAATTTGCTGCGCTTTCCCAACGCCCTATTAATAGGAAAAAGTATCATTTTCTGACTCAGTTATTAATATTTTAAATTATCCCTGAGCTATGCAATGTGTATCATAGGTGAATTAAAATGGAAAGATTAAAAAATAAAATAAAGTGGAAAAATTCTACACTAGTTTCAATGTCTATTAATCTCAAAGAAGCCAGCAAAGAATATGAAGTAGTTTATGAGCAATTCTTTTTATCAAAAGAACTGTTTTTTTCTAATGTGGACATAGTTCTGTCCTATCTCCTAAAATATATTTATAGTAATGCTGTTTAGTTATTCAGATGGGACTGGCTTGTTTTCAAATTAATCCTAGAAATCTGAAGTATTTAGAAACATTCCTATGTAAGTCAAAATCAAGAGAGAGATGCCCACTACCATGCTGAGATTCCCCAGAATGCCAATGCAATCCATCAAGAAAAAGAGATACACGTGACAACTAGTAGGGAAAAAACACACACAAAATTGTCAACAGTGTAGTCAGTGTGACTGTCTCTTAGAACATGCAAGAGACTAAACTGACAAACTATTTAAATCCAGTTTAGCAAGCTGGCCAATTGCACGGTACAAGACACTAAAATAAACAGCATTTTCTCAAGGTGTTTTATGCCCATCGTTAGAAAATAAGTTCACCCCAAGGAAATACCTCTAGCTGAAGCATTACGTCCAGGTTTTCCTTGCTTGAACTGAATCTTGTGACTGAATAAAATGAAGTTAAGAAAGAGTAAATGCCTTCAGATACCTACTTCATCCAGGGAGGTCAGAAGATGAATGGTTTGTACTTTACATGGTCTCTTGATAAGCATCTCACAAAATCGAAGGAAGTTATACAGCTGAAAGACATTAGGATGGGTTACTACTACCTTACACATTTTAAATAACATTCATCACATGTTAGTGGGTTACACTTACCTGATGAGTATGTCTAATATAAGGGTCTTCTATCCAAACTTCTCTCACTGTCTCATTAAGGTATTCTTGAAAAAGCGACTCATAACTGAATCCTGTTGCATTCTCCTCTATTTTAATTTGCTTGTGATACTTTCCATCTACAAAACATAAGCTTTACTAAAACAACTAGTGACAACTTATTTATTTTTATACTTATTACATTTATATATAGTGATTCTTCAGGATCAGATACAAATTAATTTTTTTAACTCCTCCACTCAGTAAACGTTGTTTAATCCCTGGTGTATACCAGGCACGTGGCAGGATGCTACACATACAGAGGTAAATAAGGCAAACCATCCACAAGTGACTCCTGCCTTTACAGAGGCCAGGGACGTGGGAAGGTCCAGATATTTCTCGGAACAGGTTCCTGAGCTGATTCCTAGGAACCAGGCATTTTATTCAAGAGAAGACTGTATGCATAACGATATCTGATATTCTTGTCACCATAAGTAGAACTGCAGTGGCTATCTGGTCCTTCTCTTTAGATTTAAGTCTTTTTAAAAAAATATATTTTATTGATTTTTTACAGAGAGGAAGGGAGGAGGATAGAGAGTTAGAAACATTGATGAGAGAGAAACATGGATCAGCTGCCTCCTGCAAACTCCATACTGGGGATGTGCCCGCAACCAAGGTACATGCCCTTGACTGGAATTGAACCTGGGACCCTTCAGTTTGCAGGCCGATGCTCTATCCACTGAGCCAAACCAGTCAGGGCTAGATTTAAGTCTTTTATGTCCTGCAATTTAATAGCTAAAGTGAGTTTAAATACATAAATGCAATATAATATGAAGTTCAGAAGTCTTTATTAGAAATTGTATGGGAGTGTTTTAAACAGAAATTGATAGTACTTCTCAATAACCCAAGCCAAAGACTAGGGTGCCAGAGGGTCAGTAGGATTCATTAAAGTTGAATAATTATTAAATAAGTTATCAAAGATCTTTAAGATTTATATTTATGGTTGTAAACTAGAATGCTCATGAGGAGAGAACTAATAATAGGGAACAATACTACAGCATCTCTAATCTGAAATGTTCTGTTTTACAACAAAACTCCAAAGATGGCCCTAACCAGTTTGGCTCAGTGGATAGAGCATCGGCCTGTGGACTGAAGGGTCTCAGGTTCGATTCCGTTCAAGGGCATGTACCTTGGTTGCGGGCACATCCCCAGTAGGGGGTGTTCAGGAGGCAGCTGATCCATGTTTCTCTCTCATCAATGTTTCTAACTCTCTATCCCTCTCCTTTCCTCTCTGTAAAAAATCAATAAAATATATTTAAAACAAAAACTCCAAAGACGTCCCAGGAGTTTCTTTAGATACTTTAGTATTTTGGTCATATTATGAAGAGAAATACATAGGATTCATATTCAGTATTCCTCTGTAGTGTTCATTTAAACTGGGTCCACACATAAGCTTAATGGGGATCTGTGAATTCCTTAGAACAGCAGGCAAAGGTCTGCAGTCTTTATAGCTTTCATCAGATTCTCAAGGGGGTGTCTGACTACCACCTCACTCCCCAACCAGCCCCCAAAAAGGTTAAGAATAGCTTCTGTACAGGGGAGCAGAAATGCAGAGTAAACGGGTCCACTCCACCGAGCTCCAACGGCAAGGCCAGAAACAAAGGGTGGAATGGGCTTTGGGGAAGGGGGAGGAATGAGGGGGGGCAATCGGGGAAAAAGGAGACATATGTAATACTTAAAACAATAAAAAAAAAAAAGAAAAGGGCTTTGGCAATAGTGTACGAACACATTCTCTAACACAGCCTCTTTACCTTCTTTTTCTTGATCCAAATACTTCTTTATGTTTTCTGCTCTATCCATGTAGTCGGAAATTTTTTTCCTGAGATTACATTTCTTTGTATCATCTTTGGTGCCTACAAATTACACAAATACAGTCTCAAGTTTCAAAACGGTTTTTCTATGTAGTGCATTATTTCCCAGCTTCCCAAGTCTCCCGCACATCTCCTATCCCACAGCAAGGTGTGCCTCGGTCCTCAAAGACACAAAGTTGACTTGATCAGCAGCGCACGAAGCACCTGAGGCAGTTTTCCTTAGGAGTGGGCCCTCCTGCACTGGGTCTCACTGCTGGACACACCAAATCTGGTGAGGCAACAGAGCTGGCTTATTACATGTCAAACCGAGTCTGAGCGCTGTTTTGCCCTAATCGCCCACAAATTTGAAATCTTAGCATAATAATAATAAAAAACAGAGCTAACAATACAGTATCTATCTTTCTCCCTCAAAACCAGCTTCTCTTCCAGACTTCTCTGTTACAGTTGATGCTCAATCATTTTCCTAGCCACCCCGAAATGTAAGGTAATTTTGAATATACTTTATCAGTAAAATCTTACCCCCAAATCCCATCCCCCGAACCCAATCATTAACCACTTCACTTCTGGTTCTTTCCTTCCTTTTGATATGGGTTATACTTCCCATGACAATTCCATTTTTAAACTCTTAGTTTTGAAAACATTTTATTTTGAATTAATTTTCTCTTTTTGGAAAGTTGCAAAGATGGTATACTCCCTTCACTCAGATTCCCCTAAGATTAACACATCACATATACACAGTACAATGATCAGAGTCAGGAAATTAACATTGATTCAACACTATTAGCTCATCTATAAACCTATTTCTCCAATTTTTCCACGAAAGAAAGGTTGTTTTCTGGTCCAGGATCCCACATAGCATTTAATTGTCATGTCTCCTCCTTTGTGTACTCCCAATTTGCAATAGTTCCTTAGACTCTCTCTCTGCCTTTTATGACCTTGACATTTAGGAAGAGTAGTGGTCAGTTATTTTGTAGAATGTCTCTCATTTTTGGCTGTTGATGTTTTCTCATGATTAGAGTTATGCTTTATTGGCAAGAAAAATCAAGAAGTGTTGCACCCTTCTCAGTGGGCACATAATGTCAATGTAAACTCTGGTCACTTGGTTATGGTGGAGTTCACAAAATCTCTCCACTATAAAATCACTACTTTCTCCTTTGTTATCTTGAGGAAAGGCATCCTGTTTTTCATCACTCTTTGACCTATTAATTTTAGCCTCCATCGACGGTCCTAAGAGAGACAAGCCCTGAGAGGCAACTTTAATTACAGCGCTGCTTTGTAAAAACTTTAAATGGTTTCTCCTTGTCTATGAAATGAGTAAAATCTCTAGCAGTCAAGGCCATCCAGTGTGCTCCAAGACCCAACCTACCTTTAATCTTTACTTCTCACTCTTCCTCTACAGACATATGGTGAAACAAAGTGGACCGCTTATTTGGTTAAACAGGACAGAGAGAATTTGAACACTATTAACTGGTTTCTGAAATTCTGCTAATCCTCCAAAGGCCCTGTATAAAAAGCCACATCCACTTTTTCACCCCCAAATGACCTTTAACTTTAAATCCTTCCTGTACTTGGGCATAGCTCTCTCCTGGCACTTACTCCCTGTCTTAGAGTTATTTTCCGTCTGTACCTTAACCTGTAAGATCATGTCACGGTCTCTGTAACCTCTTCAGGCTCAGTGGAGCACCCTGCAGCAGCACTCCTGTGAGTCTCCTGCTTCAGACTCCCAAAGCGCCAGGACTTGAGCAGTGCTCCGCCTGACCTACACTGTACACCATCTCTCTTTTTGGGAGTCAGTACACCACAGTCTTTAAAGCAGCGGTTCTCAAACTGTGGGTCGAGACCCCTTTGGCGGTCGAACGACCCTTTCACAGGGGTCGTCTCAGACCATCCTGCATATCAGATATTTACATTACAATTCATAACAGTAGCAACATTACAGTTATGAAGTAGCCACGAAAATAATTTTATGGTTGGGTCACAACAGGAGGAACTGTATTTAAAGGGCCAGAAGGTTGAGAACCACTGCTTTAAAGCCTTCCCTTCCAAATGCGACTCTATCAATAGTAGTAGAACTGGAAAGCAAACTTTTTTTGCTATAAAATGAGGATAACATCACCTCCTTCATAGGACAACTGTTAGAATGAAATGAGATCATGCCTTTAATGTGTTCTGCACAGTGCCGGGCACTCAGCACTCATAAGTGCTAATACTCTTATTGTTGCCATCCTCCTCACCATTACATGGATCCTGGGGGCAGACGCTCAATGCACAGGCATGGAAACATGGAAGAGACTGATGAATCTCAGAAGGAAGGAGGGCAGGGGAGGGCAGGAAGAGATTAACCAAAGATCTTATATGCATACTAGAAGCCCAGTGCACAGATTCGTACTCTGCTGAGGGTCCCTCAGCCTGGCCTGCAGGGATTGGACCGAAACTGGCAGTCTGACATCCTCTGAGGGGTCCTGGATTGTGAGAGGGCACAGGCCAGGCCAAGGGACCCCACCAGTGCACAAATCCGTGCTCCGGGCGTCTAGTAACATTATAAACAGGCTAAAAGGCAAGGGGGTTTTGGGGGGAGGCCAGACTGGGAGCTCCAGGGTGAGGGAAGCAGGGCTGGTCTTAATTTAAAACAATTACTGGGCATCTACTATGTACCAGAGATTGTGCTGGTGTTAGGGTTTTGGGTACTTCACAACACTGTACCCAAACTTTATGTAACAAAGTCTCACTGTCCACACCCACAATTTAGCATTTCTCACACCAAATATCAGTAAATCTCATTCTTACAGAAAAACAAAATGTTTTCTTCTACCACCATGTGATTTTATTTTTGTTTACTTTTAATGAAACTCCTAAACAGAAAAGTAAGAGTAACAGTGTCATGAACATCCTTATTCCCCAGCACCTAGAAAGTGTTAGCGTTTTGCCACATTTGTTTCAGCGCTTCTTCCCGGAATACTTCGGTCTGCATCTCTAAAAATTAAAGAAGTCTTTTAAAAGTTTTCTAAGAAAACCTACTGCCTAACAACGATCATAATTTTAATGTTGCCAAATCCATATTCTAACTTTCCAAAATGATCTAAAAAGGTCTTCTACCGTTCGTTCAAACACAAGTCCTATAAGGGCATATGAATTATATTTGGTTATGTCTCTTAAAATTCTATAGCAATATCCCCCTTTTCTTGCTGACATCCACCTATTAAATACATAAAAGGAATCAGACCATTTGACCAGTAAAATGCGCCACCTTCTGCATCTGGCTGCTTCCTCGCGGTGCCCAGGAATCATGAAGACACTGCGGGACGCTGCCCCTTTCTCTGTCTCCCTCCCGGTACCCGCCCCCCCCCCCCCCCCCCCCCGGGGGTCCGGGTTCACCTTTGAAAACCTGCA